ACTGAATAGGGGGGTTATCACTGTGCGCAGCATTACTGAAATAGGGGGGGTTAACTCATGTAAAACGTTTTTTACGAATGGGAGGTTTATTTAAAATTTTTGAGGCAACATAGTTGAAGGGAGGGAAATTTACAAATTTTGGCAGCTAAGTATGGGGATAGGAATTTCACCCTTTTTTTGAAGGGTCTGTATGAGATAGGTTACCCAGGTGCCACCCCGGTAGTTTAAAAAGGTGTTACATATTTTTGGAGGCGCAAATACTGAAAGGGGGAAGTTTACACTGTAGGAAAAGCATAGGATTTAAAGGGAAGATCAGTTAAGCGGGGCCTTACTGGGGATAGGGAAGTTTCCACTGGGGACAGCAAGTGTGGAAAAAAGGGGTTTTTTCCCCTTTTAGTCAGGCAATTGTTTAGATGGGATTACACATTTGGGCAGCTGTCCTATTTGGGGGGATCAATGCGTAGCTTGTACCGAATAGGGAGGTTATCACATTTTTGAAGGGTGCTGTACTGAGAAATTTTTGGGAAAAGGTTCAAAATTTTGGCCCCACATTGTTACGAGGCCCAGGAGGATCAATTTTTGCCGGCGCCTATAAAGAGATTTTAAATGTGGTTACACAATTTTTGAAAGGGTGGGTGTCTAATAAGGGGGTTAACACTGGGGCACACTGAACGAATGGGATTTTGACGCAGCTTGTACTGAAGGGTAGGGTTTACATTTTGCCAAGCACATTTTGGTACCCGGAAAAGGGGGATCAGTGTGCAAGCTTGGGGGGGGACGGGGGGGGGGGGGGGATCCACTGCGAAACATTGTAACCTTTTAGGGGAAAAGGTTACCTGCGGCCTTCTGAGATAGGGGTTTTCACATTGGCGGCCCGCATTGGAAATGGGGATTTGGGGTTTTTTTACTGTGCCGGGGCATATTTGAAATTGGGTTTAATCAATTTTTGCGCGCTAATCTGAAGATAGTTTAAGGGGTTACACTTTTTTGGCAAGCTTGGTCTGAGAAAAGGGGGGTTACACTGTAGGCGAGCATTGTTACAGTTAGGGGGAGGTTTTCACGTGTTTCGCACATTGTTACAGTCTGGGAAATTTTTACGTGTGCCCCGGGGAGCATTGTAACCCCGGGGATAAGGGGTTTCACGATGTGCGGCAAGGGACCGTAGAGATAGGGAAGGTGTTTTATCACTTTGTTTCGGCCAGGCAAAATATGCAGATGGGGGAGGATCATTGTTTACAGCTGTAAATGAGATAGGGGAGGGTTATCACTTTTTGGCGGAGCTGTCCCGGAAGATAGGGAAAATTCCACTGGCAGGAACCGGTACTGAGATAAGGGGATACAGTGCGGCACTTTCTGAGCATTGGGAAAGGTTCAACGGTTTCGGCCGCCGTCTGAGATAGGGAGGTTATACATTTGAGGGGCAGCTTTGTCTGAGATAGGGAAGGGTTAGCACATTTGTTGGCAAACTTTGTACTGAATAGGGAGGTTTCCTTTTGCGGGACATTGTTAACTGGTTGGGGGGATCAATTTTTCAGCAGCCCTTTCTAGATAAGGGAGGTTTTGGGGGGAAAAAAGGGGGGAAAAAAAGGGGGCCCCTTGGGGGGGGGGGAAAAAAAAAAAGGGGGGTTTTGGGGCCAAAAAAAAAGGGGAAAAAAAGGGGGGGGGGGGTTTTAAATTTTTTGGGGGGGGGGGTTTTTTTTTTAAAAAGGGGGGGAAAAAAAGGGGGGGGTTTTTTTAAAAAAAAATTTTTTGGGGGGAAAGGGAAATTTTTAAAAAGGGGGGAAAATGGAAAAGGGGGGTTAAAATTAACCCCTTTTTTTTGGTTAAAGGGGGTTTTAAAAAAAAAAAAAAGGGGGGGGCCCCCCTTTTTTTAAAAAGGGGGTTTTTGGGGGGGAAAAAGGGGGGGGAAAAAAAACCCCCCAAAAAAAAAAGGGGGACCCAAAAAGGGGGAAAAGGGGGAAAAAGGGGGGGGCTTTTTGGGGGGAAAAAAACCCCCAAAAAGGGGGGAAAAAAAGGGGGGGAAATAAAAGGGAGGTTTTAAAAAAAAAAAAATTTTTTAAAAGGGAGGGGATTTGGGGGGGTTTTTAAAAGGGGGGGTTTAAAAAGGGGGTTTTAAAAAGGGGGGGGGTTTTTTTTAAAAAAAAAAAAGGGGGGGGGGGGGGGGGGGGAAAAAAAAATTTTTTTTTTTGGGGGGGGTTTGGGGGGTTAAAAGGGGGGAAAAAAGGGGGGGGGGAAAAGGGGGGGAAAAATTTTTGGGGGGGGTTTTAAAAAGGGGGGTTAAAGGTTTTAAAAAAAATTTTGGGGGTTTAATTTCCCTTGGGGGAAGGGGTAAAAAAAGGGGGGGAAAAAAAGGGGGGGGTAAAAGGGGGGGGGGGGTTTTGGGGGGGGGGGGCGGGGGGGGGGGGGGGGGGGGGGGGGGGGGGGGGGTGGGGGGGGGGGGGGGGGGGGGGGGGGGGGGGGGGGGGGGGGGGGGGTTTTTTGGGGGGGGGGGGGGGGGGGAAAAAAAAAAAGGGTTTTTTTTTAAAAAAATTTTTTGGGGGGTTTTTAAAAAAAAAATTTTTTTTTGGGGGGGTTTTTTGGGGGTTTTTTGGGGGTTTTGGGGGGGGGGTGGAATTTTGGGGGTTTTTTTTTTTTTGGGGGGGGGGGGTTTTTTAAAGGTGGTGGGAAAAAATTTTTTCCCCCCCAACCCAAAAACCCCCCAAAAACCCCGGGGGCCCTTAAAGGGTTTTTCCGGGGGGGGTTTTTTCCCCGGGGGCCCCAAAAAGGGAAGGGGGCCCCCTTTTCTTTTTAAAAAAAAGGGGGAAAAAAATTTTTTTTAAAAAAAAGGGGGCCCCCCTTTCCCCCGGGGGGGGCCCCCGGGGGGCCCCGGGGGGAAAAAAGGGGGGGCGCCTATTTAAAAAGTTGGAAAACCCCCCCTTTTTGGCCAAAAAAAAAAGTTCCAAAAGGTTTGGAAAAAAGGGGGGTTTTTGTTAAAAAAAAAAATTTTTTTTCCCAAAAAGGGTTTTTTCCCAAAAAAAAAAATTTTTTAAAGGGGGTTTAAAATTTTAAAAAAATTTTTAAAATTTTAAATTGGGGCCCAAAAAAAAAAAAAGGTTTTTTTTAAAGGGGGTTTTTTTTTTTGCCGGGGAAGGGGTTTTGGGGTTTTGGGGGGTTTTTTTTGGGGGTTTCCCCCCCAACAAAAAAGGGGCCCTTAAATTTTGGGGGGGGGAATTAATTTAAAAATTTTAAAATTGGGAAATTTCCCCCGGGGTTTTTTTTTTAAAAAAAAAAAAAGGGGGGTTAAAAATTTTTAAAAGGGGCCCCTTTGGGGGGAATTTTTTCCCCCCCCCCGGGGGGGGGGGGGAAAAAAAAAAGGGGGGGGGGAAAAAGGAAAAGGGGGGAAAAAAAGGGGGGGGCCCCCCGGGGGGGGTTTAAAAGGTTTCCCTTAGGGTTTTTAAAATTGGGGTTTACCCGGGGGGTTTTTGGGGGGAAACAAAAGGGGGGGGAAAAATTTTTTAATTTTCCCTTGGGGTTTTTCCCGCCTTTTGGGGGGGAAAAAAAAAGGGGTATGGGGTTTTTTTAAAAAAAGGGGGGAACCCAAAAAAAAAGGGGGGGAAAAATTTTCCCTTTGGGGGGGGTTTTTTAAAAAAATTTTTTTTCCCCCGGGGGCCCCCCTTTTTGGGCCCCCCGGGGGAAAAAAGGGGCCCCGGGGGGGTTAAACCCCCGGGGGGGGAAAATTTTTTAAAGGGGTTTTTTTGGGGGGGGCCCTTTTCCGGGGTTTCCCAAGGGGGAAAAAAAAACCCCCCCTTTTCCCCTTTTTTTTTTTTATTTTGGGGACCAAAAAATTTTGGGGGGGGGGGGGTTAAGGGGTTTTTTTTTTAAAAAAACCCCCTTAAAAAAAAAAGGGGGGGAAAAAAAGGGGGAAAAAAAAAAAAGTTTGGGGCCCCCCCGGGGCCCAAAAAAAGGGGGGTTTTTCCCCCCCCAAAAAAAAGGGTTTTTTGGGTTTTAAAAAAAGGGGGGCCCCCCCCGGGGGGGGGGTTTTTTTGGGGGGGGAAAAAAAATTTTTTTGGGGGGTTTTAAAAAGGGGGGCCCCGGGGGGGGGGGGGGGGGGGAAAAATTTTTTTGGGGGGGGGGGGGGGTTTTTAAAAAAAAAAAGGGTTTTCCCCGGGGTTTTTGGGGCCTTTTTTTTAAAAGGGGGGGAAAAAGGGGGGGGAAAAAGAAAAAGGAAACCCGGGGGGAAAAAATTTTTTGGGTTTTGGGGGTTTTTTTGGGAAAAAAAGGGGGCTTTTTTTTTTTCCCCCCCAAGGGGGGGGGGTTTTTTTGGGGGGCCCAAAAGGTTTTGTTTAAAACCCCCAAAGGAAATTTGGTTTCCCAAAGGGGGGGAAAAAAAAATTTTTTGGGCCGGGGAATTTGGGGGGGAAAAATTTTTTGGGGGGGGCCCAAAAAAGGGGGGTTTTTAAAGGGCCCAAAATTTTTAATTTTTCCCCGGGGGGTTTGGGGGAAAAATTTGGGAAAAACCCCCGGTGGGTTTCCCTTTTTTTTAAAAGGGGGCCCCCAAAAAAATTTTGGGGGGGGTTTTAAAACCCGGGGCAAGGGGCCCCCAAAAAAGGGGGGGGGAAACTCTGATTAAGATACTTCAGTATTACAGGAAAACCACGAAAAAAGTACCACCGTTTAAAAATAAACTATAAACATGCTAAATTAGAATTATTGTGTTGGAAAGCACCAGGTTAATTCATTAACTTAGGAGGAAGATTCTCGCCAAAAGATATTAAAATGTTTTAAAGTGACATAGAGAAACTTCTAAATGTTTCTAGAATGTTTAAAATTTGTTCGTTTATAACTTCATTTTTTAAATTCTTGAATTAAAATCTGGGTGAAACGCGCGTATAGTAGATGCGTTGCAAAATATATTAATTATTGTAATTCTGATTTCACATTCATCTAATGGACGTTTTGAAAACAGTAATTTTGTAATGTACAAAGTTTGTACTAGAGTGACCTTGACTTGTTCATGTTAATCACTTGTTGCCGTCCCACCCACACGGCTGCCAGACGTGTGGTTGCTCTATCATTTTACTCTATAAGATACAACGCTGCAACTAAATATTGGTCTTATTTTGTCACACGCATATGGAGTAAGTGTGCTGCCATATTATGTAAGAGTGTTAACGAGGTGTGGGTGAGATGAGGGCGGGCGTGAGTGTGTACGAGTTTTGTGAAAGAGTAGTCACTGTGGACAACACATGTTTACAGTTGGCCCTTCGATGTTTATTGTAGTGTGGAGGACGATGTTGGTGCGTAGAGTGGAAATAAGCAGAGTAGCTAAGACAGGGGTGAAGAGGTGCTTGAACAGTGGCGTGTGGTGCACAGCTGTAGGTCTGTTTCACCATGATCTGGGGTGGCTCCCTAGTGCTGCGGGTACCACAGCACTTACCCGCCCACATGTGCTTTCTTCCCAAAAATATTCCACATTTCACTCATCACAAGTACTCTTCCTCCCACAACATGCACTCTACCGCCCACAACACGCACTCCGCCACCCACGACACTTACCCTCCCGCCCACTGCACAACTTCAGGTCAAGTGATACTTACGAGGAGCTACACTGGCGGTCCATCCATGATAGGGAAACATTCTGGGAGGAAGTGGGTAGTAGAGTGGAGTGGTACAAGCCTTTCACGCGAGTGCTGGACAACACTCAGCCGCCCTTCACTAAGTGGTACGTGGGCGGCGAGCTCAACACCTGCCACAACGCCGTTGACCGTCATGTCAAAAGCGGTCGTGGCGATCAGCTAGCAATCATTCACGACTCTCCCGTCACAGGCTCCGTCACCAAGACAACGTACTCGCAGCTTCACGAGCAGGTGGCTGGCCTGGCTGGCGCCCTAGCGGGGCTGGGCGTAGGTCATGGTGACCGCGTGATAATCTACATGCCCATGGTGACTGAGGCAGTGGTTGCCATGCTGGCCACAGTAAGATTGGGTGCTATACACTCGCTGGTGTTTGGCGGCTTCGCGGCGAGGGAACTGGCAACCCGCATCTCGCACCTGCAGCCTAAGGTGGTGTTGAGCGCCTCCTGCGGCATTGAGCCCTCGCGCATTGTCCACTATAAACCCATCCTGGACGAGGCCATCCAACTGGCAAGCCACAAGCCCCTGCACTGTGTGGTCCTGCAGCGGGAGGGTCTTCCAGAGGCCTCCCTCACTTCGGGACAGGATGAGGACTGGCACAACCTCGTGGCCTCAGCACCGCGCCTTGATCCTGTCCCTGTCACTTCAGACCATCCCTGTTACGTACTCTATACCTCCGGCACCACTGGGCAGCCCAAAGGCATCGTGCGGCCCACGGGCGGCCACGCTGCAGTGCTGCCGTGGACCATGAAGTCCATCTATGGCATGGAGCCAGGCGAGGTTTGGTGGGCAGCGTCAGACTTGGGCTGGGTTGTCGGTCATTCCTATATCTGTTACGCGCCGTTGTTGAATGGCAACACCACAGTCATCTACGAGGGCAAACCCGTGGGCACACCGGACCCTGGACAGTTCTTCCGTGTGATCGAGGAGCAGGGCGTGCAGGGCATGTTCACGGCACCCACTGCACTGCGGGCCATCATCCGCCAGGACGCAGAAGCCACCCACGCCCGCAAATACGACCTGTCCTCCCTCAAGTACCTCTTTGTGGCGGGGGAGCCGCTGGATCACGAGACGCGGGTGTGGGCACTCAACACCTTTAAGGTGCCGGTACTTGACAACTGGTGGCAGACAGAGACTGGCTACGCTATCACCGCCCACGCCGTCGGCATGAACATGTCTCTGGATCCCCCGCGCGGCGCCACCGGTAAACCCTTTATCGGTTTCGACCTGAAAGTCGTGACGCCGGAGGGTCGGGAAGCAGCCCCAGGGGAGTTGGGACGCATCGTATGCAGGCTACCGTTGCCACCGGGGTGTATGAGCACACTGTACAAGGCTCCTGAACACTTCGTTGACACGTACTTCACGCAGTTTCCAGGCTGCTACGATACCATGGACGCCGGCATACGTGACGCTCAGGGCTACATGTCGGTGATGTCTCGCGACGATGATGTCATCAACGTGGCTGGTCACCGCCTGTGTACACTGTCACTGGAGGAGGCTATGTTGGAGCACCCCTTGGTAGTCGATGCCGCTGTAGTGGGCGTCCCAGACTCCATGAAGGGGGAAGTTCCCTTTGGCTTTTTCGTAGTGAAGGAGGGAAGCCAAGCGACGGAAGAGGCTATATTAGAGGAGGTGGCAGCTGTTGTCCGGCGTGTGGTGGGGCCTGTGGCTGCCTTCCGCCTGGGTGCCCGCGTGAGGGGCCTTCCTAGGACACGCTCTGGCAAGACTCCCAGGAAGAGCATCGCAGACCTGGCCCGAGGCAAGGCCATCAAGATCTCCCCCACCGTTGAGGATCCAGATCTTTACAACGATGTTCTCGTTGCCCTCAGACGACACGGCTTCGCTCTCCATACTCCAGATCCAGTCATACCTTGACCTGCCTTCACTAACACTTCGAGTATTACCTGACATGTTACTTCGTCTAACCCTCGAAGAAGGCTCCTTGAGGTATGTGAGGAGCTCTTAATCCAAAGAATTGGACCTCCTCTTCCTTGGATCGACCCTGAGCGCCTCCCATTCCCCAGGGGTTGTATGGCCTCTACGGTTTAGCGCTCGTCCTGCTAAATATAGCGATAATGATGAGTGAGAAACTTGTGCAACACGTGGGTGTCTTTGTGGATACCCAAGTGTTGCACAAGTGTCTAAGTCATCATCATAACGGTTCTCTGGACCATTTATCTACATAATGATAATCTCGTCTGCCCCCATGTGTCTCAGCTATAACCTCAATCACCTACCCATGCTTCTCATATACGTATAACCTCAATCACCTACCTACACCCCGACCTTTGAATCTAACTCTGCAGGTAACACCTGATAACTGTGATAGAGGAAGATTCCTGAGCACCTTCAAGTTATTTCTAAGCATTTTTTCCAGTTGTACTTGCAAAAAACCGTTAACCCCAGGGCTTGTGTGGTGCACTCCTTGTACTGCACGCCTCAAACTGTTAATTGGTTATGGGTTAATGGGGTTTAAAGCCTGTCGACTGCATGAGGGTCATTAAGGCTTCACGGTAACCTTTTCAGAACCAGACCAAAATTCTTAAATCCCTAAAATAGGGATTAAAGTAAACTCTCAGCATATATACGCTGAGAGAAATACACCTCTCAGAGTATATATCTCATGAAACTGCCCACACGGGATTAATTCTCTACGTAAATCTGTAAATACAAAGTTGTTATCCCCTCCTCATTCTGAAATTCCAAGAGGCGTTGCCAACCACCCCAATTATTCGATGTATTTTTAGGGGAGTGAAACAAGTTTTTTCATCCCCCAAAGTTTGACGGAGATGTGACGATCTGATCTTGAGAACTTTAGACTATTATTTTGTTCATACAGAAGAGTGCAGCAGAGGCGAGGGTTGGTTGTGATGTATAACAGTGTGGTTGAATGAGGACACTTAGTTAAGTGACTTGTTTGTTCAAGTGTGTATTGTATACTTAGTTTTAAAAAGTATATTTCCATGGTCACTGGTTTATTCTTTGTATATTTATCCTTAATTTGGTATTGCTGGAGTTCATATAAATTTTGTATGTATATATGTATATTTAAGTGTTGTAATTTGCTGGATAATTCACGTGAAAACTCTGAATAAGAGTGTAATGATGAGACCAGAAGGAAGCGAAAAATTTAAAAAGATAACATTATAGTATATAATAACTGTGCTCTCACTCTTATCTGTGTTATCACCCTCACAACCTCTACTTCCCTAACAGTATAAGAAACAGTCAACTTCTCGACCAGCAGCTTCCAGTTACTTGGTTTCTCATATCATTACTTCATTGTTTTTTAATATTTCTTCTGCTTCTTCTGTTCCAGTATATATAAAAAAAAAAGCTTTCTTGAATCTTTCTTATATTGTGTTGCCTCCGGTAATTTGGCTACTTCCTATCTTAATTACTTAGTTATATAGTAATACTATTAAGGGCTCCTGTTGCAAGGAATTGGAACTAGCCGTCCCATGCATGTGATCTAGTTATCTTCCATTCTTCAGGCTGTGTGTGACTACGTGTTAAGTGCTTCTCTGAAAATAGTAATTTGAGAATGTCAAGTGTTCAGTCTATAATTTTATATTTAGTGTTATGACCTATAATGTAGTTTGAGTGTGTTCTTGATACCCCACTGTTGACCCCCTGCTGATCCCCTGCTGACCCCCGTGCTAAGACTCTTAACCTACTTCCTCCAAGGCCAGTGTCTTCATACTAGTTAAGCACTTTTATCTCAGGAATTAGATCAACTTGATATTGACAGGTAAGTACTACTATGTATGACGACCCGACTTTTGGGCAAAAATAACACGTTTTCACTTATACGTATATTAAGGCTACGTTTCCCCACAGGTGGTTTCTTTAGTTCTGCTGCACTGAAGAAGTCACATGGGGCGAAATGTTTCCTTGATAAATATATGAGCGCATACGTGTTTTTATCTAGCAGATGTCTGTATCACCTTACTACTACCACCATGTCTGACTGGTGATGAACGTTCAGTTACCCCTGACAGACGTCGCATGACTCAACTGAACCTAGGATTGATATCGTCAGCTCCTGGGAGCTGATCTTTCTCATCTAATCGTTTAGTCTCATTATTTTCCTGCATCTTTTACTTTAATCCCCTTTCTCTGATTTATTTTTTTTCCGTTGATTGTTTCGTTTAGTTTTCCATATGTGAATATTTAATAGCTTAAGGAAAATATACCTCTGTATTACACAGGACTCAAGTTGAGGGAGAAAGTGTTATATCTGGGCTTAGCGATGCAGAGTTAAATGTCAGTGCCAGTGGTCAACCCGTCCTCCTAATAACTATATTACACTTTCACATATGGTTTGACGCCCATTTCTAGGTTAGGTTGGTTTGCGTTAGGAAGGTTACGTTGGGTTGGGAGGGTTAGGTTACAACGGAAAACTAGAAATATAAGATTAAACACAATAAAATAGTTTGCTGTGCGAACAGAAAATGGGCAGCTAATGTGCACTGCAAATATAGCACACATGTCCACTCCTCAAGGTTTTGTCGACAGTTACCCATTTGACTTATTGTTTTTTCCTTTTCTTTTTTACTTCAGTGCCATGTTGTCTGTGCCTAAGATAACGAAATGCAGCGGCTTAGTTCAGGGCCACTAACAAGGTCACAGCTTCCTCATGGTCAACTAACAAGATCACCCCTTCTTGGTCAACTAACAAGGTCACGCCTTCCTCTTGGTCAACTAACAAGGTCACCCCTTCTTCTTGGTCAACTAACAAGGTCACGCCTTCCTCTTGGTCATCTAACAAGGTCACGCTTTCCTCTTGGTCAACTAACAAGGTCACGTCTTCCTCTTGGTCAACTAACAAGGTCGCGCCTTCCTCTTGGTCAACTAACAAGGTCACGCCTTCCTCTTGGTCAACTAACAAGGTCACGCTTTCCTCTTGGTCAACTAACAAGGTCACGTCTTCCTCTTGATCAACTAACAAGGTCACGCCTTCCTCTTGGTCAACTAACAAGGTCACGCCTTCCTCTTGGTCAACTAACAAGGTCGCGCCTTCCTCTTGGTCAACTAACAAGGTCACGCTTTCCTCTTGATCAACTAACAAGGTCACGCTTTCCTCTTGGTCAACTAACAAGGTCACGTCTTCCTCTTGGTCAACTAACAAGGTTGCGCCTTCCTCTTGGTCAACTAACAAGGTTGCGCCTTCCTCTTGGTCAACTAACAAGGTCACGCCTTCCTCTTGGTCAACTAACAAGGTTACCCTTTCCTCTTGGTCAACTAACAAGGTCACGCTTTCCTCTTGGTCAACTAACAAGGTTACCCTTTCCTCTTGGTCAACTAACAAGGTCACGCCTTCCTCTTGGTCAACTAACAAGGTCACGCCTTCCTCTTAGTCAACTAACAAGGTCACCACCCCTTTCCCCTTGGTCAACTAACAAGGTCACGCCTTCCTCTTGGTCATCTAACAAGGTCACCCCTTCCTCTTGGTCAACTAACAAGGTCACCCCTTCCTCTTGGTCATCTAACAAGGTCACGCCTTTCTCTTGGTCAATTAATAAGGTCACGCCTTCCTCTTGGTCAACTAACAAGGTCACCCCTTCCTCTTGGTCAACTAACAAGGTCACGCCTTCCTCTTGGTCAACTAACAAGGTCACGCCTTCCTCTTGGTCAACTAACAAGGTCACGCTTTCCTCTTGGTCAACTAACAGGTAACGGGCCCTTTCCCCTGGTCAACAACAGGTCACGCCTTCCTCTTGGTCAACTAACAAGGCCACGCCTTCCTCTTGGTCAACTAACAAGGTCATGCCTTCCTCTTGGTCAACTAACAAGGTCACGCCTTCCTCTTGGTCAACTAACAAGGGGCACGCCTTCCTCTTGGTCAAATACAAGGTCACACTTCCTCTGGTCAACTAACAGGTCACATTCCACTTGGTCAACTACAAGGTCACCCTTCTCTTTGGGCAACTAAAAAAGGGCACCTTTCCTCTTGGTCAACTAACAAGGTCACCCCTTCCTCTTGGTCAACTAACAAGGTCACCCCTTCTTCTTGGTCAACTAACAAGGTCACGCTTTCCTCTTGGTCATCTAACAAGGTCACGCCTTCCTCTTGGTCAACTAACAAGGCCACGCCTTCCTCTTGGTCAACTAACAAGGTCACGCCTTCCTCTTGGTCAACTAACAAGGTCACGCTTTCCTCTTGGTCAACTAACAAGGTCACGTCTTCCTCTTGGTCAACTAACAAGGTCGCGCCTTCCTCTTGGTCAACTAACAAGGTCACGCCTTCCTCTTGGTCAACTAACAAGGTCACGCTTTCCTCTTGGTCACTAACAAGGTCACGCTTCCTCTTGATCAACTAACAAGGAACGCTTCCTCTTGTCAACTAACAAGGTCACGCCTTCCTCTTGGTCAACTAACAAGGTCACGCCTTCCTCTTGGTCAACTAACAAGGTCACGCTTTCCTCTTGGTTAACTAACAAGGTCACGCTTTCCTCTTGTCAACCCAACAAGGTCACGCTTCCTCTTGGTCAACTAACAAGGTGCGCCTTCCTCTTTGGGCAACTAACAAGGGTTGCGGCCTTCCTCTTGGTCAACTAACAAGGTCACGCCTTCCTCTTGGTCAACTAACAAGGTTACCCTTTCCTCTTGGTCAACTAACAAGGTCACGCTTTCCTCTTGGTCAACTAACAAGTTCCCCCTTTCCCCTTGGTCCAACTAACAAGGTCACGCTTCCTCTTGGCAATAACAAGGTCACGCCTTCCTCTTGGTCAACTAACAAGGTCACGCCTTCCTCTTAGTCAACTAACAAGGTCACCCCTTCCTCTTGGTCAACTAACAAGGTCACGCCTTCCTCTTGGTCATCTAACAAGGTCACCCCTTCCTCTTGGTCAACTAACAAGGTCACCCCTTCCTCTTGGTCATCTAACAAGGTCACGCCTTTCTCTTGGTCAATAAATAAGGTCACGCCTTCCTCTTGGTCAACTAACAAGGTCACGCCTTCCTCTTGGTCAACTAACAAGGTCACGCCTTCCTCTTGGTCAACTAACAAGGTCACGCCTTCCTCTTGGTCAACTAACAAGGTCACGCTTTCCTCTTGGTCAACTAACAAGGTCACGCCTTCCTCTTGGTCAACTAACAAGGTCACGCCTTCCTCTTGGTCAACTAACAAGGCCAGCCTTCCTTGTCAACTACAAGGATGCCTTCCTCTTGGTCAACAACAAGGTCACGCCTTCCTTGGGCAACTAACAAGGTACCCCCTTCTCTTGGTCAACTAACAAGGTCACACTTCCTCTTTGGGCAACTAAAAAAGGTCCACGCTTTCCTCTTGGTCAACTAACAAGGTCACGCTTCTTCTTGGTCAACTAACAAGGTCACCCTTTCCCTCTTGGTCAACAACAAGGTCACCCTTTTCCCCTTGTCAACTAACAAGGTCACCCCTTCTTCTTGGTCAACTAACAAGGTCACGCTTTCCTCTTGGTCATCTAACAAGGTCACGCCTTCCTCTTGGTCAACTAACAAGGCCACGCCTTCCTCTTGGTCAACTAACAAGGTCACGCCTTCCTCTTGGTCAACTAACAAGGTCACGCCTTCCTCTTGGTCAACTAACAAGGTCACGCCTTCCTCTTGGTCAACTAACAAGGTCACGCCTTCCTCTTGGCAACTAACAAGGTCACGCTTCCTTCTTGGTCAACTAACAAGGTCACGCTTTCCTCTTGGTCAACTAACAAGGTCACGCTTTCCTCTTGGTCAACTAACAAGGTCACGCTTTCCTCTTCGTCAACTAACAAGGTCACCTTTCTCTTGGTCAACTAACAAGGTCACGCTTCCTCTTGGTCACTAACAAGGTCACCCTTTCCTCTTTGGGCAACTAACAAGGTCACCCCTTCCTCTTGGTCAACTAACAAAGTCACGCCTTCCTCTTGGTCAACTAACAAGGTCACGCCTTCCTCTTAGTCAACTAACAAGGTCACCCCTTCCTCTTGGTCAACTAACAAGGTCATCCCTTCCTCTTGGT